AAAGTTCTATTCAGGAGTGTGAATAATGCCCCCTCTCTAGTGGATGTGCAATGGACGTATCTAGGCATCGCTTTGTTCGTCTTCGCATTGGCCGTTGTCTTCTACTATATACCGCTTCCTGAAGCCTCCGACGAACAGTTGGAGGAGCTCGCCGACCAACGTCATTTGGCATATGCTGCCAAACTCGGTCCTTGGAAGGTGATCTATGTGACGCTCGGGCTCGCCGTCTTCAGCCAGTGGTGCTATGTTGGAGCGCAGGAATGTGTCGGAAACAATATACAGAGGCTGATCACAACTGTAAAGCCAGCCTCAAGTCTCCGTCCGTTCGACTTCTCAACCGTGGGCCACACAGTATTTGCAGTTGGACGATTTGTGGCCGCTTTTCTCAACTACGTACTAAAGCCCAGATGGATTCTGCTGGGTCTCTACACGGGCCTCATCGTCTGCCTGGCTCTTAGCATGCGCCTGGATGGAGACGCTGGGGCCGCCATTGCGATGCTCACCTTCTTCTTCGAGGCCGGCATTTTCTCCATCATCTTTGCTGTCGCCATGCGTGGACTTGGGAGGCATACAAAGGCCGGCTCGGCGTTTATGACGGCTGCAATATCTGGTGGAGCTATCTTTCCACCTGTTCAATGGGCGGTTGCAAATGGTTCCGGCGCACGTTACTCGTACTGCGTCCCGCTAGCTGTTGCTGCCTTTGGAATGCTGTTCGCGATCTACCTCAACATGATCCCGCAGGCCGGAACACAAGTTGACCCAGTCCACGTGAACCGGATCAGACGGCGCACAGAACGGGGAACTGAGCGCAACAAGTCTACCCCTCGAGAAGACGAAGATCTACAACGATTTGGCCTATCTGGTATCATTGCGCGACGGAGACGGAAACAGCAGCTGGGGCCGGCATCTGAGGCACGTCTTGAGCGGCAAAGCACACAACCGGAAGACGCGCCAGACTCACCAGTGCTTACAATGGACTTTGCGGAGAAGAATCACGTCTCCAAACCTATGCCTGCGCAAATGAAGCCATCCAAAGGTCATGTTGCAGAGCTGGCTCTGTGGCCCGTGCCTGAAGGCGAATCCGAAGCCAATCGTGGGCAGCCCGATGCCGGTCCACGCAGAGACACGGGCTCTGCCATCACAGGCCACACAAACAACGATGAAATCGACGTGATGAGCCGTCGACACCGACCTGTCTGGGATGACTACGGCCAGGATGATGATCTCGATGACTATCATGCGATTGTGAGGAAGATATGAACAAGGTTGCTCGGCCCAGAGCGGTCAAGTGGGCGCTGTAAATTGTTTTTATCTGCTGCGTTCAAGCGAAACTGTTTGGAGGGGCGCTCGGAGTTTGGACTTTTTTGATTCTGCGCGGTTTCTTGAAGTACATCTCTGTCGATAGGTAGCAGCAATGTGACTCGGTATTCATTGCCATGTCTGTTCAAAATAAAAAGGCATCAGGCCTAAAGTCTGTGCATGCTTTCAAGCCCACGAAATCCCGAGTGTCTGGCTCAGAATCTACCAGAGGTGCCTCGTACGCGGTACTCGATCAGTGAGTCGGTACAGTATCAATCACATGAAGAGGCGAACAGAAGGACGGGAGGCCGGAAAGACGGAAAACGGAATAAGGCAATACTCGTATGTAAAAGTTCCACGTGACGTCTGGTTTGGGGTTCACGGCGAGGCGAGGCGAGACGAGCCGACACTTCACTCGACATGACGACTGGAAGCCAGCAGCCAGCCATCTGCCATTCCAGCTACATATATACCTTCATGTAGGGACATCGATCGGGGTGTCGAGGGGGGTCCAAGTGGCATGTCAGCACTGCCCTTGTCAACATACATTTCCCGAGAAATGTTTTTGTTGGTCCGTCCATCCGCCTGATGGAGAAGACGGGAGACAGGAACATCACAGCACTGGAAGGAGTGCTGCAAAGGTTGTGGTGGTGGCATGTGCGTGCGGGAGAGTCGTGATGGGGCCACGGCACAGAGCACACAGCACACAACACGCAGGGACAAGGAACATTGTAAGGTAAGGGTCACTTCTGCTTGCTGCCGGATACTCATAGAAATCACTCGTTGGGAGCTTGCTACAAACCCACCGCACTGCCGTTTGCCGTTGGAACAAGTCTCAAGAATACTCGGTACATCTCTGATATATGTGATGGACAAGGGAAGTCTTCCGTTTCATCACAGCCAAAAAAACCATGTGCAGGATGACAGCATGGGAGAAGCAGGGGTGCCTGAAAGCTGATGATTCCTCGGCCACGAAGGATTTGAGAGAGAAAGCCGGCAACAGCTCAAATCCCGAGGTTTTGCGAGCGACATCTACCACGGAGGAACTCTTGAAAAATGGTGAGAACCTCTGTATCGAAGCGATGAGCGGCGCAATGGAAAGGACTCGTCACCTCTCAGAACAGGCGCATAGGAAACCGCTCACGCAGCAGTAGTCGCATCGCATTCGACACTGCGAATTCAGCCGACCCCAACTCAGTCGCCAACAGAAAAAAAATGTAATGCGCGGTGGCGTGAGATGCTTGGGAGGATGACGAGCGATTGCATACTGTTGAGGCTGCGTAGGATACAGAACAGCAACGATATACCGATTTGAACAAAGCGAGGATATCGACTCCACCGAGGTGCGTATTCTAGCTACTCGTGATCGATAACGGACGAGACCGAATGAACGGTTTAGCGACGGCTTAGTATACCGGAGGTCGCACCGAGGGGGACAGACGTATCTGGGTCCATAATGAGATAGATAGGCGTGCTGAAAAATTGTGTTGTCGTTCTAGACACTGCGCACGATGGTTTGTACGGGAAGAGCGGACGCCAGAAGTTAGTTCGGATAGCCAGCACGTGGAAAACCCAGCTATACGGCAGAGTTTTGAATTTCTCAAAAATTCGGCTCGGTTTCGAGTCAGCGGGACAATCGGATTGGATGGAGGGTCGCTCGAGACACCCGGATTCAACCCGTCCTGACCGCAATCGCGCACGCTTTTTGACTCGGCGCCATGAGTAAACTGCAGGAGGAGCAAGCATCAATGCTCAGAAATGCAGTTGACCATGTGCAGCCAGGCGCTGGCAGCAGTCCGGACATCTGGTGGGGACAGGGTGTAATCCAAGAAAGTCTTCGGACGCAATCCTGTACGAGTGGTATTCCTTACTGGGCAAAAGGATTTTCTCTGCGCAAGTGGCTGCGGTTCCTGCATAACGGCTCTGGGTGGCTATTTGCCGTACCTGGGACCTGTCCGTGCATGGGCATCGTTCCCACTCTTTCGCCTTCTTGAAGTCGCATTGATTGTGAAATTTTTTTCTCAATGCGGGTAGTGCCCCATTGGATGGTTGTGCAGAATTCCGTTAGCGAATCGACGATCGGCTAAAAAGGACAGGAACTAAAGGAGTCTCGTCCCGGCGCATACATGTCGGGAGCAGAACGTGGCCGCGTGGCAGCAAGTTTGCTGGCTGGCGACGTGGACGCATCTCCTTTCGACATTTGCAGAAGCAGTAGATATTTAAGGAGGACAGACGCAGGTCTTGCTGGCTGAAAGGGTGCCGGTTTGAAACACGTTTGTTGGCTTGCAGATTGGAATTGAGGACTGTCCATGGGTCCAGGGGTGCAGAGTCTGACAGCAAAGTTTGACAAGCGAGTGAAGATGCCAAGCGGCAAAAGGCCAGGCACAAGCAGGTACCAGGAGAAGATGTGATCACGGCTTGCCTCCTTGAGGATTAGGTTCGGCTGTACCTGAAGACACGTTTTTGGGCAGCAAATCGGGGGATGAGACAATGGCCAGTTGGGTGCGGGTGGAGGTCACAAAGCCTAATGTTGAGCAGGGGGGCATCCCTTAGTTCCCCTGGGCGTCCCTGACCTTCAACCGAAGGGTGGTGGGGGGCTGTCGTTTCGAACGGGCGCCACCTACGAGAGCGAGGACTGCGAGGGACCAAAGCAATAATTATTGAAAGCCTCTTTCTGCTCAAAGTGGACGTGAAGTGGGTCAATGGGGCGCATCCCAGGTCCTGGCGTTTCTCCCGAATTTCCCACGGCCCTACCGTAGCCTCCATCACCTCCGACTACGAGTCTCCAGCCTGGTCATCTGTGGTTCGCTCTGCGCTGAAGCTCTTGCCAGTCGTCGTAGCTGGCAAGCTGACAATGCGACCCCAATGCTCCCCTGTATCAGAGTGGCACTTTACAGCACCGCAGCCCTCATCACGACCGACGACCCACGATCCATTGACCCACGACCCGCGATCCGCAATCCGCAGCCCGCAACCCAAAAATGCTCGACCGGGGTGACCAGAGCACCAAACAAAGGGAATGCAAGGAGATGGAGAAGCAAAATAAACATCTCAAAGGGCTTGCAGACGGCCAGATGCCAGATGCCTGGTGAAGGGATGCATGGACCAATAACCACACGCGTCGATTCCTCTTCCCTCCCCCCCCCCTGTCACTCCCTTGATGGGGATTCTTGCGAGGCCTGGATCCCGATGCAGAGTGATGCCGTGACTTCGATTGTTGAACAAACAGCTTTTCTTGACTACTACTCTTCTCACTCTCCATCTCTTGCCTCTCGTTCATTCCATCCGCTCACTCTTTTCTTATTGCTCCGGAAGAGGATTCGATCTGACCAACAAAAAAAACTCTTCCTCTTCCCTGTCACTCATTGCAACCTTTTCTTTATCTACCCTGTCCCTCTTTGTTCTCTCTCCCGGACCTGGACATATCTTTCCTTTCATCCAGTCCTTCTCGACCACCTCTCCTTTGAGCCATTCACTCACCGGGCTAGTCCCTCTTCACCTCGAATCTCAGTCCTTTTCTTTCCTGACACAGGCTTGTCATCGGCGACAGTATCCCCCTCAGCGCTCAAACATTCCTTTCAGAGAACCAAGACGTTAAGCCGTTCCTCGAAACAGCGCTTTTCCAAAGGCACTCTTTACCCTTCACTGTCGAGCCAGATCTCCAGTCAACCTTTTCGACTTCGAAACATACTTCTGTCGCAATGGCCGGACTCAAGCAAATCGTTTTCGCGGCTTCGCTGCTGACCTCTTTGGTTGCGGCTGTCCCAATGCCCGACAAACGCGCCATCTACACCAACACCGTGACCGAGATCGCATGGGTGACTGTCGAAGAAACCACCACCATCTGGGTTGACCCATCGGATCCCACTCCGGCTCCCGCTCCTCCTGCCAGCACTACCAGCAGTGTCCCAGCCGCTGTTTTCGCTGCAGCAACTTACACTCCATCGACCCTCGCAACTGCTGCTGTCGTGCCCGTGGAGGCTCCGTCGTCGTCATCGTTGTCGTCGTCTGCTGCCGCTCCTGCTGCCTCCCCAGCTACTTCTGCTCCGGCTGAGGTACCCGCCCCGGCCCCGGCTCCGGCTGCGCCATCGCCACCTCCTGCAGCTCCAACCTCTTCTGCAGCCCCGTCCACGATCAATGTTCAACCTAAGGACACTGTCGGCACCGACGGTACCTGCGAGGGTTCGGGAGATGCATGCCAGGGTGATGTGACCCATTGGGATGGAGGTAAGTCGTGAATCATTTCTCAAATCCGTGGGACTCGCGCTAATTGATTCTCCAGGCCTGGGTGCATGTGGATGGAACGTCGACACCAGCACCGATCTCCAAATTGCCCTCCCTTTCGCCTTCATGGGAACCCAGTCCAATGGCAACCCATACTGTGGTCGCTCCGTCACCTTGCTCAACCCCACCTCGGGCACCACTGTCCAGGCCACTGTGGGTGACAAGTGCATGGGCTGCGTCGACAGAGCCATCGACTGCACCGATGCCTTGTTCAATGCCATTACCGACGGTCAGGGTGATGGTCGCATGTCCGGTATCCAATGGTGGTTGAACTAGGTTCTTCCCACCCAGTCATTCCTTTATTGGTATTGAAACATCGAGGTCTCGCGTATGATTTGCCGAGCAAACATGTGCAGAGCCTCGGTGCAAATCAACCGAATTCACACTCAGAGTGCTTCTGGGAAGCTTCTTTGTCACAATATCGACACCAGTGATGCAACAGAGAACGCCACAAGGGGTGTTTGGTCTGGACACACTGTCTCAAGTTTCCAGCATGATGAGATTGTAACGAAAATTATGAACACAAACAAAAAGCATAAGGCTGAACCTGTGCGAGCCATGGTGCAACGGCGAGGATTGGAAACATTTTTATCTTCTTGCTTACCTCTGTATCGGTCTTTATATCGGTATGGCTGGCCTTTAGGGGGATTGAAGGCGTTCTGGATTGGATACAGACCCTAGAAAGAACGGTACATACCATTATGCATCTCGGCCAGGTAGCAAAGGCTACCACAGGAGAGCCGATCCAATTCAAGGATTTGCCACATGATTTTTGCCCACGTACGTCAACTCACTAATTCTGTAGTGCCGAATGTGTGCAAGTGTGTTTTGGTAAATGAAGGTGAAAGAAGAGAGATTGTCTATGATTCAAAGACGAGAGTAGATAAGAGACGAGATGTATAAGAGGGAGAGAGAGAGAGAGATGTGAGGTTCAACCCAAGCTTTTTTGCTTTGGCCATGGGATCTGCAACGCATATCGCCGCACGATGGTTCATGGGTCGAGGCCTCGCCAAAACATGGTTTCTGTGATGATGATGATGATGATGATGATGATGACGATGCTGACGACGAGCCGAGGTCAAAGGCCAAAGGTCAATGTGCATGGGCCAGGAGTATCCCCTGGTACTAGTATCGTGCAAAGGTACAGTGACAGTGACGATGACCGTGATAATGATAATACCTCGCACATATCGTTGCTCGTGTGTGCGCGTAGGACGTGGGTGTGCGTGGAGACGTATGTAAATCGTTGGTAAAGGCAAAGTGACTTGTGCATTAATAAGTCTGTACCGAGTAATTACCTCGTACCCCTCTTTCGGTATCCCACCGACCGTTGGGTACTCCGTACTGCCACACCACCTACCTCCCTTTGCTGCCGTGGCTGCCTACCGTGCTATTCAAGGTATGTGAACACAAGGACATACGAGGACCATCGCGAGTACATGGCGGACATGCAAGAACAAACGCCAAACCATATAGACTAGTTACCCGGTGTGCCAGGTTAGGAACTCTCGTGCTCGGAGATACATATGTACATACATACCTTGTATTTGGTAGGCGTACTTGTAAACGTACCCCGCAAACAAGTACGACATTGCTCTCCCGTTCTCTCTACCTGCTCGAAGTAGTATTCATGTTCATGTTCGAGATCGAATGCCTCCGTTCGGAGAACAGACTTATGCCAAATAGGTGAATCATCTACCCGGCACAGCCGATCATGTCGAGCGGGGGGATCATCCTCCCCGACGGCAAGCAGGAGTACCCTACTCGCCAAGCACCGTGTAACATGATAAGGGAATGTATAGGTTCCCCTGTTGAGAAAGTCGCTTTGTCGCTTGTTTTCCTCTCTGGGGCTCTCTCATGGTTCCATTGCATGATCGAAACTCGCGTGGGCCGGGTCTGTGCCGTGCGTACATCGCCTTTCTTCCCATGCTTGCATTCTTGTCACTGTGCATCTAGACGTTTCCGGATGCGGTAATAGCAACGCTCTTCCACCGCTGGAGACTGGTGGTGATAGGTAAGTGTACTTGGTAGGTGGGAAGGGGGAACTTTTGGGGTATTTGTCTACGCGACCTTGGTATGCCTTGAAAAGCAGAGTGGTGTCGGTCCATTGTCTCCTGAGAAATTTCCAAAGGGTTGCTTCGAGAGTAATAGGTCTGTGTGCCGTACAATTTGTACCGATTCACAATATCTTCGCGGTGAGGGCATACAGTCGCGTTGATACTCGGCTCTGTTCAACAAGCACTAACGAGTACAACCGACAAGTCTTGCGAGATACCCCAACAATGCATCTTGTTCTCTCCCGCATCGAGCCGAAGGACCTCGATGCCATCGTCCCCCTCCTGTTCAAGGCATTCCACAAGATCGACCTCCCGCATATTTTCTTCGGGCGAGAGTCTCCTGGAAGTTATGCACATACCAAAAGAATCCTCTTGGACGGCATGCAGAATGACAAGACAGACGTGATTCTCAAGATTGAGGATCTGGACGCCGAGGTCGACGTGAATGTGCTTGATGAACAGGGCAATGCGACGGGGACGGAGCGGAGGAAAAGAATTGTCTGTGCGAGCAATTGGAAGATCTCACCTACCTACGTGCCATCCAAGAAGCTGCAAGCCGCAACCAAGGACGAAAGCGAAAAGACAGAGGCAGAGAAAAAACCCGCCTTTGCCTACCTCGAAACCGAGCAGGAACGGGCCGATGCCGCTCTCCTGATCCAGGACTTTATCGCTCGGCGTCGTCGCGAGTGCAACGAAGGTCATGTCCTCTGCTTCTTACTCTTCACAGATCCAGATTATCAAGGGAAAGGGTGCGGACGGATGATGATGCAGTGGGGGAATGATGTGGCTGATGCGTTGATGCTGCCTTGTTGGATTGAAGCTTCTCCGGAAGGCGAGCTGCTATACAAGCAGATGGGATACGAGGGGAGGGAGAGGGTGAGGATGGAGACGAAGAGCTTTTTGAGTGAGTATCTACTCATGCGACGCCCAGTGATGGTAGGGAGGATTCGCCAGGAGGGGAAGACATGGGTGAGAGAGCGGGTGGAAAAGATAGAAGCCGGTAACGCATGAAGCCGAATGTATCTTTGTTTGACCAACGTCTCGTCGAACCCATTGCCCTTGATGTGCTGAGTTCGTGAAGCCCACTACATGTTTGCTGGGAGGAAAGAAATGTTGGTAGTGGAAGAAGAAGAAGGGGGAAAAAACATGTGCTGGGTACGTCATTTCATCCTCTCAACTCCGCAAATTTCTCGTTCCTCTCTGCCGTCGTGTGATCGGTGATTCGATCCCCCGAAATCTGGTGATCAGATGCTACAGGCGATCAATCTTTCTTGGTGCTTGATCCTGAGCTTGAGAGTACCTCAACGCTGCTGCCCAGATTGAAATCAACATCCCTCTATCGTCTATGTCGCGACAGTAGCCTTCCACACAACTCGCTCATGCGAATCAACAGCAGCCCCCTCGCCTTCGTCCGAGGCCGCGCCACATGGACCTGTCCTCGCTGTAAGAACCTGCAGAAGTCATTCGACAAGCCACGGAGAGGCTTCAACTCGTATGGCAGACCAATCAAGGTCGTGAGACCGCGCCGGGTCGTGTATTGGGCTGCTGCAGGTGGATCAGCAGGCACCGGTCTGCTGTTATTCGGCGATGATATCAAGCATGGCTGGCTCGCCGCAGAGAGAACCGGAAGAGTGGTTACCACCTTGGCGGCGTGTATAAACGAGTATGCCCTTTTATCGTTCTCGGTGGCTGAGAGGAGTAAAGGCTGACAGACGCAAGCTACCGTGTAACCCTCAACGAACAGCACGACGATCCGGAAGAGCACACCAGAAGTCTCAAAGCTTGTCACAAACGATGTGCCGACCGAACGCTGAAGGCCATGGAGGCGAATGGGTCAATATTCATCAAACTGGGCCAACACATCTCGTCAATGGGGTATCTGTTACCTACCGAATATACCGAGACGTTCGTCCCCTTGCAGGATAAATGCCCTGTCTCGTCCTACGAGTCAATTGAAGAGATGTATCTGAGAGACACTGGTCACCGAATAGAGGATCATTTTGACGACTTCACGAGAGAACCAATTGGCGCGGCCTCGTTGGCGCAGGTGCACTTGGCCGTGATGAAGGAGACAGGCCAGAGAGTGGCGGTCAAGGTGCAACATCCCAGCCTCGAAGAGTGGGTGCCGTTGGATCTGGCCCTGACAAGATTCACCTTCCGCACATTGAAGAGAGCCTTTCCCGACTACGACTTGGAGTGGTTGAGTAATGAGATGGACTTTTCTCTACCGCAAGAGTTGGATTTCAGACTCGAGGGCCAAAATGCAATGTATGCGAAACAGTACTTTGAACGACACACCAGTTTTCCGCTCGTCATCCCTCAGGTGATCTCGGCCAACAAAAGGATTCTGGTCATGGACTATGTCATGGGGGCAAGGGTCGACAATCTACCCTACTTCAAAGAGCACAACATCTCACGAGCCGAAGTGTCGGCGACGCTGGCGCGCATCTTCAACGTCATGATCTTTTCGAAAGGCGCCCCGTTACATTGTGATCCTCACGCAGGAAATATCGCCATTCGTCACAATCCCCAAAGGAGATATCCGTATAATTTCGACGTCATTCTCTACGATCACGGGCTTTACCGAATGCCCGATGACAAGTTGAGGAGGGACTATGCGAAAATGTGGCTTGCGGTCATCGACGCAGATGAGGCAAAAATGCGGAAATACGCCTACGAAGTCGCGGGGATTGGCGACAAAGAATTTCCGTTGTTTGCCTCCGCTATCACAGGCCGTGACTATCGCGTGCTGACTCGCAAAGAGCTCACCACTTCAATACGGAATAACGATGAAAAGGAGGCCATTGGCGAGGTCTTTGGCCAAGACCTTCTTGCCCAACTTGTGCAGCTGCTGGGGCATGTTCCCCGCATTATTCTTCTGATATTGAAGACAAACGATCTGACAAGGAGTCTGGACGAGGCACTGGGGTCGACTCAGCCGATGAGGCCCATGCTCATTCTGGCCAAGTACGCGAGTTGGACTGTTTGGCAGGACGAAAAGGACATGATCCGACGGCGGGGTAGTTTTCTCCATCCGCAGAACTTTTGGAGGCTATTACGGGCATGGGTGAACTTCATGAGGGTCGAGTTGAAGTTGTTTGGGTATGAGCGGTACTTGTCTTTGCGGCGACACTTGGGTCTCGACGAGTAGGGAGTGCACTTGACCAGATGGCTGTGGTGGTTATTAGACTCGGACAAGCTTGCGGCTGTATCATGTTAGCGAGGCGCTGGTGCGATAGAACGGGGGAAGTACTCCATGAATAATGAGAGTGGTTGTGAGACTGGCCGCCTTTATACCTATCTATAGAAATCGCCGTCCAGCCTCGTCACGGGACCAGCAGCGATTCGATTGGCCAATGACTCTTCCGCAAGGCTGGCGATATCCGAGCCACTTCCAGTTGTGACTTGGTCTCCGGTTTCAACCATCGCAACTTCTGTCTCGCCCACCCTCTGTTGCCCTGAGAAGACTTCCATTCCTTATTTTCTATACTGTTTGCGCTTAGTGCCACAAGTTTACATTATGATAATCTCCAGCATCCAATCTTACGCATACAATACGGACACGAGGTGCCAATTCCTCGTCATTTGCATTTCTTGATATATTGGCAAATTCACCTCCACCTACTTCAATCGCCGTCGCCATCGACCTTGGTCTCTTAAATCAGCTGTGTGTCACTCGCTAATCTTCCACCATCATGATAAATCTCGGCCTCCAGCGCATCACTCAGTTGCTCAACCCGCTTTTCAATACACACCCAACATTACCCTGGAGAGCAGTCCACATTGCAGGGACCAATGGCAAAGGAAGCGTTGCCGCCCTGGTCTCGACATTTCTCGGTCACTTGGGATACAAAGTTGGGCGGTTCACCTCTCCTCACCTGATCGATCGTTGGGATTGCATCAGCCTCAATAGACGCGTCGTCGAGCGAGACAAATTTCTCCAGGTCGAGCAGCACTTTCGCGACCGGAGCGTCAGGGAAGATATCCACGCATCCGAGTTCGAGATCCTTACGGCCGCGGCTTTCCAGCTATTCACGGATGCAAGGGTTGATGTCGCCGTCATCGAATGTGGCCTTGGTGGTCGTCTTGATGCCACCAATGTATTGAGACCGGAGGATGTGCTGGTCAGCGTTTTAACCAAGGTTGGCCTGGATCATACTGCCTTCCTGGGCGAGACTCTCGAGGCTGTCGCGACGGAAAAGGTGGGAATTTTCAAGCCGGGAGTGCCTGTCGTGCTTGACCAGAGCAACCAAAGAAACGTCATCGATGTGGCCGAACACCGATTGAGAGACTTGGGCTGGGAAGACAGCGGAAGAGCAGGCGTCTACATCTCTGTCGAAGAGAGAAGACGTGAATTCGACAAGGCCATTGCACGTATGCGCCTAGCAAAACATCAGGCTCAGAACCTATATCTTGCCTTCTCCTGCTTTCAAATAGCCGAGGAACGTCTCAGTGGACGGTCTGCACGCCGAGCACACCTCACTGGGGATGGATCACCAGGACCATTGAACTTTCCCCAGGATTTCCTTGTCGCTACAGATCAAATGCGCGTCGACACAGTGAAGAAGTCTCTCGATATCCTTGTTCCACTCGCCCAGTCGTCTCTTCCCGGACGCCTGCAATGGATCATTCTCCCGTCGAGACTGCTACCGCAAAATCTAGAAGACTGGGCAGCACAGTTGCAAGCCGGTCAAACTAGACAGAGCCTCAACGCAAAGGTCCTTCTCGACGGTGCCCACAATTCGCAATCAGCTGCAGCTCTCGCCGACTACATCAAAGCGCAATGGCGGCCTCCCTCCAACGAGCCTGTGCCACCTGTGACATGGCTCTTGTCTGTCAAGAACGACAAGAAAGTCGATGAAATTCTGCAGTTGCTGCTCGGACCCAACGATAATGTCGTGACGTGCTCTTTTGGCCCTGTTGATGGAATGCCGTGGGTGAAGAGCATGGGAGCTATTGAACTAGCCGAAATCGCCACCAAGTACACGAGTGGAATTGTTGAAGCGCTTGGAGATGAATATATTGGAGGTGTTACTGGGAAAGAGGATAAAACCACACCTGACGAGAAGATGAGGATCATCATAAGGCAAGCGGTGAGCGTCGCGTCGAGGGATTCAAAGGTCAGCCCTTTGGAGCTGAAGCTCTGTATCACTGGGAGTTTGTACTTGGTTGGGGACGTCCTGAGGTGCATCCGGAATGCAGGCGGGCCAGTCGTTGACGGCAGTTCTGCTCCAGCTCCTGCGGGCTCCTCTTACCGAGTTCAGGGCTAAATCGGTGATGGGGTGACGCGACGAATGGATACCTGTATATGTGAATACGATGTCTTTGCAAATGGGCATGTCGTTGGTGAGAGATCGAACCCTTGGACATGATGTCGACCGTTTTCAACCAGGGCGTGTTACACAATCATAGCGATGAACACACGGAGTGCTATAGTCACTTTCTAGATTTTGTGTCGAGGTTCGACGGGTGTATTGTCTAGGATATTTCTAGGCAACTTTTCTGTTCCTAGACGACAGCAGCCTCACCGGTTCCCATCTCGGCCACTTCTTTTTGGGAACTGGTCCCGGGCTTGGTAGCAGGCCTCACCATGAGAACCTGACAGTACCAGCCGTCGCCTCTCTTCCCGTCCCGCTCCAATTCTTGTGCGAGTCTCTTCTCGGAGAACTCGACGCCCCTGTCCCCCCCGCCCTCCCAGCGGCGGAGATCGACCCAGATCTCTGCCCCGTCCGGCGCTCCTGAGAGATTGAACCTCTCGAACCCGACCGCCTCGTAGACCCCGACCCCCTTGGGCGACGCCTCCAGCATGCTCGGCCACGCGCGCGCGTCGGCCTCGGCGCACGCGTGCCGCATCAGCATCGACCCGGCGCCGCGGCGGTGGTGCCTCGGGTCCGTGTACAGGTTGTCCACGAGGACGTGGGGGCCCAGGAGGGCGGTGAGCTGCCGTCGCGAGGCGACCAGTTGGGACCAGAACGACGCGGCGAGCGCGGAGTGCGTGGACGAGGGCCAGGGGCGGTCGGTCGTCGTGGATGACGACGAGGTGGAGGTGGAGGATGTGGGTTCGTCCTCGGTGTCGGGGTTGGTGTTTGTGTCATGGTCGTTGATGTAGTACTTGATGGCGGCGATGACTTTGCCCTTGACTTTTCCGTCGCCCTCCTTTCTAGTCCCCTGGTCCTTCCCCGTCACCCCCTCCCTCTCCGTCTCGCCCACCACCCCCACCACCTCGTCGTCATCATCCTCATCCTCAACCAGACCGTCATCCACCACAACCGCGAACCGACAATTCCCTTCGTTGGAAAACGCCTGCGAATGCCGCTCCACCATCGACGCGATATACCCCGGATACGCCTCCGGGGGCCCGTGGTAGATGGCCCGCATGAGCGGCACGGTCAGCCAGGCCGCGAGGTGGATCCGCGCGATGGCCGGGATGTACCGGTGGTCGAGGGGGTTGGAGGGGGAGAGTTGGTGGACGTGTAGAGGCATCTTTTTCTCGCTAGAGAAATTAGATTATTGGTCGTTTGGTCTGGTCTATCCCGTGTGTGTGGCCTTTTCTGCGATGTTTGGATGTGTCCAACTTCCAAATGTGCAATGGACCCTTTCGTCCCTTTGTCTCTTCTTCTGTCGAATGCGTGCTCGACTTCTTAATATATATATGATTCGTGTGTACCCAGATACGTAAATTGTCCACGAATATATTTTGACTGAATTTTATGTACCTCGTAGTGGTTCTCTGTCTGTCTGTGTACCTTTGTACCTCAGGTTACTTTTCCGAAGGGGGGGAAACTCCCACGAAAAACCCCAAAGTCAAAATAGATCGATGAGATGGAGACGAGGGTTACATCGGTCAACTACGAGGCAGCCACTGAACGGAGCTGAATCGTATATGCAAGATCGACTTTTATGCATTTTCTTTTTAACTTGTGTAAATTCTCCCCAGGGCCCAAGGGGGGGGGGGGGATTTTTGAAGAGATAGGGAGGTGATTTGTTGATTAGACCCTGTGCATCGACTTACCTGGCGAATCGTCGAATTGTCGAACTTGTCGAGGTGCAACGTGATCTGATCCGCTATGATATACCGGCCAGCCCAGTGTCAAGGATATCCCTGCATGCATATGGTGCATTGTATGGGTGTATGCGAGCGTGTATGTAGATGTAGTCCGCACCTATCCACAGCCTTCGATACCACTGACAAATTACACTTCAGGGGCGGAGCACACTAAGCACTTATTTTACATACCTGTTGGCCTCTATATATTCACGGGCAGGAGGCGGAGGAGAAAAAGGGCACGGGAGGGCGAGAGGTTATAACTTATCATTTTTGTGCTTGTATGTGCGTGGTGTTATATATATATATATATCTAATGATGGCGTATTCCTGGGCTGTTGGTCCGGTTGTTCTCTCCAGTCATGGCGAGGTGACGAGAGAGAGCGGAAGAGAGGGAGGCATTGCAGATGCAGATGCAATGCAATATTGAGCCCGTCCATATCGCTCAATTCGACTTCGCCCTATACTTCCTGTGCCTTCAGTGACGTCCATGCTAGGCCATGCGATGCCATGCTCATGACCGAGGATCGTGTGTTGGTGACGGCTCAGAGCCCCTCCATTGCTGGAGACTCCGCAGAGTCTTTTTATCCGCGCCGTAGAGGTAATATCCTCTCAGACACGAAGTGAGTTTCTCCAGATTCTTGTCTCTGGGACATTCCCTAGGCTGTGATGTGGACATCTTCTGGGCTTCACATCCTATTCCACTTCCACTATGTCGACTTCTTGTCTTCCCCCCAGCATATATGCCCGTATTACCGTCACTGTGGGTAGGCATTTCGTCCTCCCCATCATCTCTGTCTTTGGCCATCCATTCGATCAGGTGTCCCATGAACGGGATCTCGAGTCGCCACGGACTGAAACTCGAGGCGGATCCAATCGCCACCATGGTCCACAGCGTCACCTCGCGCTCGGTGACGGATGTTGGATCGTCTGGGTTGCTGGGCTGCGACAGTTCCAGCGCCACGTTTGATAAGATCTCTTGATATGGATGGTGAGTCTCGGTCGTTGTATCTGTGGGCGGAGACGTAGACGACGAGGCTGGTGTTGAAGATTGCCTCTTCGCTGGACGGAGTAGGTGTGGTTGGTTGTGGAAGTTGAAGATATAGATCAGTAACGCGAGCAAGACTCTATGGTGTAGTGACTGTGGTCTCGATTCTTCCGTAACGCAAAGGACGCGACTGATTTCGTTATAGTCCTGATCGAGGGATTGCAAGCCTTTATCCTCGTCCTTCCCGCCCCCTTCACCTTGACTGCCACCGCGAAAGCATTGTGGCTCCCTCGAAAGTTGCCTGAAGACCCGCTGGAGTATATGGAGTGCATGGAATGTGATCAGACTTTTGCTGGCCAATATCGTGAAGAGCCCCTGGCATGCTCCCATTTGGGTCGGCTGGATGGGACGGTCTTCTTTGAATCTGACCAAGACATCATCGTCGTCGGTCAGTTCGCACACGAATCTGCCATGCAGGAGAAGCGGTAAGAAGAATTCGCTCCTACTCAAACATCGTTAGTTAGTGCCCCTATAGAATAGGGGCTGAGTGACAGACTTTAACAGCTCGTCCTGTAACTCGGTGCTGAGCTTGCGTATACCCCCTCTTGTCGACACCATTCTCTCTTTGGCCCGTTTGTGCATTGCATAAGCATGTAGGTCGCCATGTGCCGCCTGCTTGGTCAGTATATTGCTATCCAGACTACAACCACACGACGAGGCACTTACATCGACATCCATCAGCCACAAGGCGGTCAAGATGGCAGCATCGTCGTCTGCGTTCCGGGCCGTTTCAACTTTGTACCTGAGCTGCTTCAATGCTTCACCTCGGTGATACAATGCCGTCCAGTGGGTGGTGCCGAACCCCTTGACATCGATGTTGTAGTACACCTGACTCAAGGCGATCAGAGCGTGAAACATCTCAGAGTTCTGCATCGCCACATTGAACCAAATGATATAACGGCTGGTTTCGACCGCCAGCGCAGGACTGAACCGCGGAGTGAGATATCGGATGACTGGAGTGGTAGACGCTCGTTAGCAGTGCATCCCGTTGACAGCACAAGCTTTCACTGTCTGATCGCTGCAGGGCTTCAGATGCAAGCATGGAACATCGTCACAAACGGGAAAATTGGCCCAAGGTAGATGAGTCGTCCCATATATGGCGCTTGACTTGAGAAGACTTACAATAATCCACCAAAAAGGGCACATAAGATGCGTGGCTGATGGGGTAGGTGGTGAAGGGGTCAGCCATCGGGCTCCCCAGCACGCAATCATTCCGCAACTGAGGTTCTCGAGGAGAGGTGACTTCTCCCGGACTTGTCGAAGTTAACCCTTGGTTCCTGGTGGGCGGTTTCTTCTTTTTCGTGGTAGGAGCGGTAGGCGGCGGTGTCCCTCCCTCGGGTCGCCGCACAAACGGACGGTAGTGCGTCCGATCCAGAACAATGCGCTTTGAGGTTGGCCGGTAGCTTTTCGAGGCAAACGACGAGACGGCACGGCGATTCTGCCTGCTCTTCAAGTCGGTCGGGCTGTTGTATGTGATGAAAATGGTGTTCTGGGATGCGGGAGGCATTTGGGTGATTGACCTCGCGGGACAATGATCCTTTGTCTAAACAGTCTGTAAAAAAGGTGTTGTCGTCGAGCGGGGGAGACGACCGTTGATCTGCAAAGAGGACTTTGTGTTCAATAACACCTTTGACCAGCAACCAGCTCTTGAAGTGAGAGTGCCTCCATCGCACTGTGCTCAGAGGAGGCTAAATGTTTGTCGCTGCGCAATCAGACGTCGAGGTACTCGGGAGACAAGTTTGAATTGTTTCAGCCCCCGGAGTTCTATCGTGCGTACGCCGCCCAGCTGTTTCCCCACCGTCTATTCAAGCCTTGCCGGTGGCGCAAGTAAAATGAGGAGATGTCTCTTCGTTCGAGTCTGATCTTTGAAGAAGGCTGAATGCGACTTGCAGCGAATGTGTCCCTGAATCACTGACCCTCGACGCCACGGTAAGCGATTCCATGAGAGATTGGAGTAGGCCTAAGGAGTGGATTATCCGAGGCCAAGGGCCTGAACCGAGTAAAGAGGATTAAACGAGTGTATTATGGACAAGCATTGTTTCGAATCGTGTCGCTCGTGTCGCTTTGAGCCCAAGGAAAAAATCACGTAAGCGGGTTGCATTATGAAATGGGGACCGCAAAGAGGCGCCACCATCGACTTTCGGCCCTACAGGAGGGGCCTACAAAGGTACCTTGTAGGAGTGGGCTTATGCTTACAGCGCTTCATCTGGTCCTTTTGGCCATTACTTAATCGTAAGCCACTGGCGCCGCAGCTGCGGAGCAGGGTCATACAAATGAGACGTGACAAAGCTAAAACATGGAACAGACAGACAAAAGACATACCCAAAGGTCACAAGATCGATTTTTGGCCTGATTGGCAATGACGCTCGCTCGCAATAACATTGGTGAATATGCCCGGAGTGAGAACGCCGATGGTCATGACACCGGCCGACTTCTTCGTATAAACATATCATTCCTGTGGACTCCAGGACAAGTTGATGTGACGAGTAATCCACCGAATTGTCTATCCCACTACTCATTCTTCTGCCCACCTTCTTTCTCGAAGAGGCATCTCAATGCCTTGTTGTGCCCGACTGCCACTCTCTTCCGCCCTCCAGGCATAATATTCACCTAGCCGAACCTCAGCATACGAAGCATAATCGAAATCGATCTCGGAAATGGTCGCCTGGATCAGAGCCCAGACTCCCCAATAGAAGCCTGGCATGCCCCGATATCGGTCAACTTCATCGCACAAAACATCCAGCATGTTGTCAGGAACCGGCACGTCGCTGTGGGCTTGGTACGACCTGAGGTAGTCTTGGAGGAATTGGCGGCGTGTGGATCGGGTTGGCAGCATGTTGTAATCACAGTCATAGCCACCCCATTCGGCAAAATGGTTGGCGATATCGAAAGCTGCAGGACAAGGCGTGGCATATTCGTAGTCAATAAAGGAGACCTGCATCGAGTCACCCGCCTTACTACTGGCACAGTCGGTTGGCAACATGATAACGTTTGCACTTAAGAGGTCGCAATGTCCAAAGACGAAGCCTGACGAGCCGGGACCTCGCTCATTGTCCAGGTCATGGAACGATCGATCTAGTTCTTTCTGGAGCAGTTCCTTGCGGGCCTCTTTCTTTGGAGTGTCGCAGGGAAGAGCGGTAACCCATTTCTGCATTACTGACCACATATTTGGTACAGGCCGCCTCGAAGCAAGACTACCACTCGGAGTATGGCCATTGGCGCCGCTTGAGGCCTCCTTCTTTTCCTCTTCTGCCACGGCGGCAATAGGCAGCCGTGCATGCCACTCACCTAAGCGCTTAGCAACCGCGCGCCATATAGGTTCACTGATCAGGTCTCGAGGAGTACAGACTTGACCAATGATGAATCTGTATAATAGTCCATTCTTGAATCTTGCCAACAGGGGAGGGGCCAATCCCCGTTCTGCGCACAAAGCATGTGATCGGGCCTCTCGATCTCGGTCGATGATGATTTCGGTGTGGTTGCCATAGGCACGTAGGAGGACAGAGTCACGGTCGATTTCAGCTTCAGAAAGCCCTGGAATGCGGTTTGATATCTTGAGCAGCTAGATACCAGTCATGAGCAAGGGGCACGTGCCTGACCAAGTGAAGCAAGAGAACCCACAGTGTTGGTGATACCGTCGGTGAATTTGACAATTTCAAGTTTGCCTGGACTGTCCCTCCATTTGGGCTGTATTCTGTAGACTAAGTCGCGAGCCGAGTCGTCCAAAGACTCGTTATCAAAGGCCAGATCGATGTATTGCAGGCGCGGGTGGTGGCCATTGGAGAAGTCAATGGGGGATTGCATGTCCGCACATGCCCCGTTGACGGAGGAGATTGACCGATGTCAGGCAGGACGATAAGGATGTGACGATGGAGATATGGACACTTCCTCACAGGACAGTAGAACAGGAGGATGTAGAGGAGAAATAGACGGGCGAGGACTTCAGGGACAATGGGTTGTGATGGGCAAAGTTGGAGGAGTTGTAGTTTCTTGGTGTGCGATGTGGGTGCGCACTAGTTACGCAGTTTGCGGATGTACTTGGTAGCTGCGGTAGTCGGCTTTTCTCTTTACTTGTTCATTGTCGCGGCAGTAGTGGGTTTTCCCTATTGAAGAAGCCGGCTTGCAAGCCAGGAACAAGGGACGAGAGCACAAGCCACTCATTCTTCATCCTCCCCGATCGTCATTCCTCCCCCCTCCCTCCACACCCACCGTTGCCAACGAAAGTCTAACTGCGGCCCCTGGTTCGAACCAAGAGAACCTGCCCCTCCTTGCCGGGAACTACACGGAAAATGATCCCATCTGCGCGGGTCGGTCTTTTGGTCAGGAGATCACAGTGGACCACTAATATTCAACGAATCTACTGCCGAAGCTCTTTCACATGTGGCCCTTGAGCACTTCTGTGCCCCCCCCGAGCCGTTGCTGGCGTCATACAAGTACATGTGATGGCTACAAAGCATGGGGAGTGGTGTAACCCTCGACTAAGAATGTGCCTATTGGGTCTATCCTCGATCCTCACCCTGGCTGCCATCGAAAAACTGTTATAATACCCTGGGAAATGTGTCGGTTCACGGTACGAACCTGGGACGGTTGCTACCATGCCTAGGTGGTTTGGCGTTGGGCATTGAAGAAATAAAAGTATCAGATGAAAAACCGACGGAATGTCGTGTGTGATTCATCATGAGAGGGGTTCTCAGCCTCGCCTCTCCTCGCCTAACCACCAGTCATCATGTCATCCTGTATAGACTCATCCAACGAGCCATGAAATCGCTTCAACCTTTAGCCTTGGTCTTTCCTTTCTTACTCCTTTTCTTCTCGGTCTTGTCCTTGTCGGCACCCATATGCTTGGCCTCCGCGTCATCCACCAAGCTTTTGTCTTCCTTGACTCCACTCTCTCGACCGACGCCGCCGATCTTCTCGAGAATGATTGCCGCGCCTCTGTTCTCCTTTTCCAACTTCCCCATGTTTCTTCTCAGCACATCCAATAGCTCTTCTTTCATCTGAAAATTCTCGGCCTCAGACATGGCCACAATAACAAAACTATTGGGTCCATTTGCCCAAGCCACGAGTTCCTCGTCCCCGCCCGTCGACCGGATCTTTTCAAATAACAACTCATCAAATTTCAAAGGAGGATCGATCAGTTGGATCGAGTTCGTCGTTTTGTTGAAACGTCCACCTTGCACGAGAGCCTTGAGCATGCGGCCCACTGCTGGCATAGCGAGAATCTTATCGGTTTCTTCTTGGTGTTCTTTCTCTTCAGGCGCCTCGGTTGCCAAATCGGCAATCGCACCTAAAGCGCCCTGTACATCACCAACCCCAGCACAACCAAACACTACCTCGGTAATGAATTGACAACCAAAAGTCGATTGTGCGAGATAACGCGCTTGGTGTGTAATGAGGTCGAGAAGAGGTTGGGCAATGTTCTTCACCAATTCAATGCGGCGTGTTTCTGGATCCTTCTTGGATGTTTCTTTGCGGATCTCACGAACCTCTGAGATGATTGCGGCTGTTTCGTTCCCTAGCAGCCACTTTGGTGCCTCAGAAGACATGAGATAAAGCAGTGGAATACGCGCGGTAAGGTGTTCCGTCTGTGCGAGCAACTCCTGCTCCCTTGCTTCAATTTCAAGGTCTTTGCTCAGAAGCTCCGGAAAGATGGTCTTTGAAGTCATCACAGTATCATCAACAACTTCATACGCCGTCAACAGCACACTGTGACCATACTGGTCGCCCGCGAGGAGTTTGATGTGCGTCTTGAAAAACTTCAGTATGCCCCTTCGATCCTTTGAGTTCCCGTGAGCCAGGCAAAGACACAGCAACCGAGACCCTGACTTTGTGAAAGCGAGGTTCTTGTAGATGTCTCCTTCCTCATCATCGCGGAGCATGGAGAAGAATTCGGTGACTTCTGGACTTCCAGGTTTGCAATTCAAAAAGTACTGCAGTAGGGCGTCATGAAGGATCGTAAAACCTGTGGTCTTCTTTTGAACAAGCTGGTTGGTCATTTCGTGCAGATGAGACATGATGGGGTTTCTCTTTTCGGGGTGCTCGGCAAGAATGTCGGAAAGTACACCTGTTACTTGCTCATCTTTTGATGTGTTGCCCGTCTGTGACTTGCCGAAGATCACAAACTCCGGGCCGTACCATTCTCTGAGCATGATGGCCTTTTGATGCTTCGTTGCAATGGTCCTGTAGATGTCGTCCACGATCCAACTTGCTTCAGGATGGCGGATCAGCCTTTTCACGTGGCCATAGAATTCTCCGACGACAGCATCCCGACTTTCATCGTCACCCACGACCATCTTTGCTATTAAGAACTTGGCATATTTGGACTCGGCCAGCTCTCTGTAACTTCCCTTCAACTCCGTTGTAATCTGTTTCCTCTGGTCCGGGGTCGCATATTTCAAGGCACATTGGATAACCCGCACAGAATCATGTTTGAACACGAAATCCTTGACCCTTCCTGATATGATCTGAAAGAGTTCCGTGACCAACTCGTCCCGTTCTTGCTTGGGGACGTGGGATTTGCGACGCAATCGCTCCCATATCTTCTTTGATCGAGCGATGGAGTCGGCGTGAGGTTTGGCAGCCTTGCGGCCTTGCGCGAGGGCCTTTTGCTTTGCGTGGGCTTCGCGAGAGGTCTGGCCTATTTACGCATTTGAAGTCAGCAATGACGAATCTCTGTCTCGGCCCCGATAGAGGCGGTGTGCTCATGCACATACCATTTAAAAAAGTTTCTGATTTTTCAGACGCATTCCGAGTCGTAGATCCATACTTCCCCTCGGATTTCTTCGACGTTCCTTTTGTTGAATCCGCCGCCGAAGTGTTCTTTGCCTGGTCGAAGGCTTCAGCTCCTTGCGCAGGCAGATCCGTGGCTCTTGAGTGGCCCTTGTTAAGTCTGGCCCTTTTGGAGGCTGTAGAGTCGGAACCCTCATTTTGCCGCTTGCTTGCTGCCATGTTGAATCTATATTCGGTCACTGGCAGTTCTGTGCGGTCAGTTGACTAGCACCACAGAGATCATCGAACTTTTTTTTTTGGAGGGTCGAATTTCCGGCAAACAGGACAAACAGGGCAAAAGTCGAAAGTTTGGTGCTTGGCATATTTATCTCCTTACAAGTGCCGTGGTGCCCCACCCGCGTTGGACGGTGGGTCATGGTCCTTTGGAGAGAGCGGAGGATCTACGCCGTACTACCTACAGTAGGTGGAGTTCTCAACGATATTGAATCTTCCTCTATCTTCCTCTATTTCTTCTTTGTCTGCTTTCCGGGCATGAACTCCGACCCCGGCGTTCCTCGGTCTTGTTGACACTCGCTCTGTCTAAAACTCTACGAGAACTTTGGAAATCAAGCCCCTAGCTCTGTGATAACCCACCTTCTCCGCTCCAAGCCACTCCTTTTACTTGCTGTAGTCTATCCACGATTCTCCGTTGTAATTAGCCACAAGTCGAATTGGATCACTGCCGGGGGAAAGTGTCGAGCACGCGCCTAGTGGGCGAAGCGGAAGTCCAGTCTTTTGTTTCCTGCGTCCGTCGTGGTTTCGAGATAGTGAAGTCGCTCCTGCAAACGCGTGGGTCAGCAAAGACTGCCTGATTTGGTCTCATGTAGAACGAGAAAAATAATGTACCTCTGAGCTCATCGCATTCCATTTCTTCTCGCGGGTGTGGTTCCGCCAAATGTAGTAGAGCTTGACACACCCGTACAATCCGATGGTTCCCGCGCAGATGGCAGTCAGTTGCCTATTGCCTCGCCGATCTGTAGAAATCTATGGTCAGCCATGTACAATGTAAGGAAGAAAAATCACGGAGATCGTTGTTCCGCCCGGTAGGGGAGCTAGATTCAGCAATTGTTGTTGACGGGTGGATGGTTGGAGAGGAGACAAGGTGGAAGACTCACAAACAGGACGGTCATCGGCGCGATAGATGTTGGAAAGGGCAATCCCGCCAACCTGTACAAACATGCTAATTCAAGAGTCAGCTCAATGGACTGGGCGACGAGAAGGGGAAGGGCGACACTCACTTGTACAAAGCCGCAGAGACGGTCCTGGTTCGGACGGTGTTGGAATTCCGACTGCACCATCCCACTTGCAGAGCATGAGCTGTTGGTCACCGTTAGCCATCTGCAGGGCCGTGTTTTGTGGCGGGGTCATGGCATGGGGCACACTTACGGGAGGGCCATCCCAGCAAGACGGTCGTTATGGCATATTTCGCCCACGCTGAAGTGGTGGCCGGGATCACCGCCAGCGCGATGATGTTCGGAAGAATCCAAAGTTGTCCAATTGCACCCATCAGGGCTCTCTCGTTCAAAGTCTCGGACAAATAGGTCAAGATCAACATCTGCGCCGCGGTCAGCTTGGTGAACTCAGAGTCGCGGCAAGAGCGGAGAAAAGGTCGCGACTCACAGTGACAGCGCCAATGAATTGGGTCGGAATGGTCAATAGATTGGAATCCATGGTCCCGAATCCCAAATTTCGAAGGGTGAGAGTCAGGTACTGGTCTGGTGGTCCAGCCGGAATGTTGAAGATCAGCCCGATGAGGTAGATGGGCCACAGATCATAGTCCTTAAGAGACTTCCAGAGAAGTTTGAAATCCACGGCCTGCCGATTGTGCATATCGCCCTTGGAAGGATCATCGCGCAGGATCCGGTTGACCATAATGACCTCCTCACGTTCGCTGAACCAACCTTTGGGACGGTACCAAGACTTGGTCTGGGTCGGAGATGCCGCCATCATGAACCAGGACCAGATACCCACCACCAGGGTGAAGAGGCCCTCGATCAAGAAGAGCCATCTCCAACCTTCGTAGCCGTGCACGCCACGCAGACGCAAAAGACCGAACGCCAGGATAGGGGCGATGATGTCAACGACTCGTAGTGTAACCCAGAACAAGGCCAGGCGGAAAGGAAGCTCCGACCCTTTGAAGAAGTAGGACTGCAGATTATGGGTTAGCAACCACCGCGGGATTCAAGCATGGGCGTTGATCAGAGGACTGGGCATACACGTACCAAGTAAAGGATCACATCGGGGATAAACCCTCCTTGAAGCATGCCTAACAGGGCGCGGCAAGCCAAGAAGCTCGACCTCCCGCTGAGCCAGAACTGAGACGCCGCAACAATGCTCCACAAGCACATGATGGTAGGTATCTGAAACAAATCAGTAAGGAAACTTCTCCACTGCTGTGCGAACATACCCATCGGTCCGGTCCTGTCGGCGGGTCAGCATGAGTGAGTCATTTCACTAAGGTATATGTCCATACCTAATTTCTTGCTGACTAGTTGAGATGGAAGTTCAGCGCAGAGAAACGACACTCGGAAGACGGTGTTGCCCAGGTTGAAGTCTAGCACCCAATCAGACCCTCATCGGCACTGCCAAATGCAGCAAACTACCTACCATTGGTTGATAGACTCAAGTCTTCCAAGAAATTGTCTGTATTGGCTTGGCTGAGGTTGCCTCTGTCGAGGTCCAGCGCAAAGAATGCGATGCAGGCCCAAGTGGTGACCTTCCAATCGATCTTGTTGATCAGTGGCTGCGCGACAACTCGTTAGCCCAGCAACGACAACCGTGCTCCAACGTGGTCACTGACTAGCTCTTCCGCCCAGGTCCATCGTGCACTGGGGTCGAACCTATGCAGATTCTCATATTTCGCCGTTGGCTGGAAGTACTTTGCGGTTGCAGGGTCATCATAGATGGATGGCTGGGTTGCGATTTGCTGAAGATCACGGTGTTGTTTCTTCCTCCATAGAGTTGTGATGGGAAGCGTCGGCGGTACCGTCTTCTCAAGCTCATGCTGGGCAAGAATTCTTTCGCGGACCGCCTCCAGCTTCTCCTCCTGATCTTCAGGAGTGCCGCGCACTTCTGGGGTCGAGGCAGAGATCGGAGTATCTGTCCAAACAGCTTCTTTCTTCTCTGAACTCATATCTGCCACCTTACTGCAGTAGAGCGAGGAAAATTCCTTCTTGTCTTTGCCTGTGATTCTGAGTACAAGATGAACAAACTCAGGACAGGCATGAGAGTGGTGGGCTTAAATACACCCTCGTGCTGGGGACTTCGGAACCACATGGATGAACGCCATGCAACTTCATGCATGGTGTAAATTTTGTGAATATGTCGCGATAGACAGGATGGCAAGTCTGGAATGCCTAGGACTTCGATTCTGCAGATACTCCAGTGATCAACGGCCTGATTCTGCAGTGATAACGAGACCCTTTGTTTGGCGGAAGTTGAGCGGAGGCGGCCAGAATATGCCCAGTACTTGGCATTGGTGAGTGCAATGCTAGGCATAATGACGAGCTCACCAGACAACATTATACAGGGCGGAACTGCTTCAGAACCATGGGTTTGGTCGACTTTTTCACTTCCAGGATCAAGGATCCCACGATTGTCGTGAAAGCGACAAACCTTCCATGAGCGACCAGCTCCTCGGGACAGCAGCGAACCAACCCTTGCAGTCCCGCATTTATTTTGATGCTGGAATTTTCAGCGAGGTGCCACTGTAGTGTCAGACACCACCGTGGTTCAAGCTGGACACACTGTCACAAGTGGCAACGGGCGTTTTCAGGAACAGGACTCCCAATGGAGATTTCGAGGGGCTGGCTCCTCGAGACATGCTGAAAGGTAAGAACTGATGTATACCCGCGTATTGTTTCACACGCTCCGACTTTACGGTCATCGCCTTGGTCTTCTCCCTCGGCATCTTCTTCAGAGAGGAGATTAGAAGTTCGCAATGGCCTTGGATGATGGTGGAGGATCCTTCGGCGTCTAGTCCGCAATTCGCGCCAATAAACAGGTGGCAATTTGGCATCATATCTGGGATAGACCCAAGATGGCATTTAGGCTCCGGATCCATCATTCGATTCCTAGTGATTTTATTCTTACCTTCGTCAGAAGTCGGCTCACAGAGTCCCTCGAGCAAATTTGACCCGGCAATTCTCGAGTCAAGCATCTTCTCCACGTGTGCGTCAAATCGCGAGTAGCCTTCCCAAGATCCGTTCATGGAGTCGTTGCTGGCCTCTTCAACTTCCATAATAGGTAGCATGATGAGTAGTACCGAATAAATAGGTGGTAGATATTAGTAGAGCCATGGTGTGTTTAATTACACTTAAAACTAACAACTGTTAAAATGACCGAACGACTTCATGAGTAAGGCAAATGGTCAAAAAGGGTTTAGCTGTCTTTTGAAGATTGGTCTTTTCTAATGTAGACTAGCGTGATTATAGGAATGACCGCGCTCGCTGACTAAGGCGATTGGTGCCTGTTGGCACCCAGTTGGGTTGGGTGTTGGGTGTGCCCTGTCGTGCCTGCGTCCTCTGCAACCAGTAGATTTTCTATTGCAACGTCATTACCTCGTAATATTATTTTGCAAGCTCCTATTTCTCTCAATTCTTGGCCGCACCTTGCTGCAGCCAACACCCTCCAGCACCAAAATTATTCCGATGACTTGAGATGTGTCAGACGCCCCTGGGGATGCCACTCTTGAAGTGGCCAGTTGTGAGGAGCCTAAGCTGTGTCCGCGAACCGGCTGTCCGCCAATTGCAATTATTCACAGATTGAATGTTATCGGTTGTGTTACACTGGACTGAAGTACCAGCAAAGTGAGAATTGAGATGCTTCCACTAGGAGGTGCTCGGACAATAGGGAACGTGGGTGTTGGTCTGGGCACGACTGGGGCAAGCCGAACAGCTGGCGTAATTACCAGGCACCATCAAGAGCCCTCAGGCCTTGGCTCATTACGCCTTGAAAAACCACTGCATCGAGGCCGGATCCCGCTCTTGCACCTATTGGTACGCTCGAGCATCTGAAGCCTCCACTACTGTCAGGGGACATGCCCTGCAAGGCAACGAGCAAGTGCATCTTATGCTTTAGTAGGACGCAACCATCCTTGTCTCATGACCACGGAATTGTTCTGCTGCGAACGTGGCATCTTCAGATCCCACCGACATGCGATGCCACAACGGTGAACCTGA